CATGTCCATGTCCAGAGTCGAAGGTGTTTCTAGAGCAAATTCAACATTAGCGTTTGGTGCAATTTTTAAGTGGACTGAACGAGTCATTTGCCCAAGCAAAGGGCCAAATCATGCTTATGATTCCTACACCTACTATCAATGAGGCCTATGGGATGGTAGTTCAGGATGAGAGTCAACGAGCAAAGATAATGAATATTAGTGGCTTGGAGATAGGAGCAGCAGCTATGGCACACAACTCAGGACAAGGTTTTTCTGGTGGCTACAAGCAGAAAGCTCAGGTATTCTGTGATTATTGCAAATTTAAAGGACACACTAAATATGTTTGTTATAAGTTGGTAGGTTATCCTCCTGACTATAAGCCAAAGGAAAAAACCTTTGGAAGAAACATGGCAGCAGCACACAATGCACAGATTGATCATTCAAATGGATCAACAGACCAAGGAAGTTCTAGTTTTAGGATAGCAACTACAGGGAACTTCTTCACAGAGGAGCAGTATAAACAACTACTTCAACTACTGAGCCAGAATACAACACATGTTGAAACAACAGCACATGCCAAGGTCACAGGTATACCATTATCACTCCTAAGCAAATCTAAGAAGGATAGATGAATCATAGACTCAGGTGCCACCAACCATATGGTATCTAGTTTGGATTTCTTTACTGATTATATGGAGATACCTAAAGGAGAAGGCAGGAAAGTGCAGCTGCCAACTGGTGAAACTAGTAGGATTACACACCTAGGATCTTCTAGTATTCTCAATGGTTTACCAATAAAAAATGTCCTGTATGTGCCACAGTTTAGGTACAATTTACTATCTGTTTCACAACTTACAAGGGACATTGGTTGCTTCATTGCCTTCTTTCCTGCTTGGTGTGTCTTCCAGGACATTTGCAATGGGAAGGTGAATGAAGGACTCTATGTGTTGGATCTCGAGCAAAAATCAGACCTCAAGTTGCCAATTGGTGTTATTACTTCTGCTTTAGTAATAAATAGAATAAGTGGGTCTTTGTGGCATAAAAGGTTAGGTCACATTCCTTTAGATGCTTTAAAGAGATTACCAGCTTTTCACAACAAGACATTTGTTGATTGTAATGAGCATTGCCCAGTATGTCCTTTAGCAAAGCAAACAAGATTACCTTTTCCTATTAGCAACAGTAGACGTGATGTCTTTGGTGACCTTATACATGCAGATGTATGGGGACCTTTTAAGGTTCCAACTTTTGATGGTAAGAGATATTTCCTGACTCTAGTTGATGATTTCAGTAGGTATACATGGATCTGCTTCATGAACACAAAAGATGAATCAGTTGTGATTTTGAGACACTTTATTTCACTATTAAGAAATAAGTTCTCCACTACCCCTAAATCACTAAGAACAGATAATGGAGGAGAGTTTTTTAACAAGGAGTTGACAGCCCTATTGCAGTCTGAAGGGATAGTTCATCAAAGCTCCTGTCCCTACACTCCTCAACAAAATGGAGTTGTTGAACGAAGGCATAGGTACATTTTGGACATTGCTCGAGCCTTGAGATTCCAAGCTGGATTGCCTTTAAAATTCTGGGGTGAGTGTGTTTTAACAGCTGTTTATTTGATCAACAGAGTTCCTTCCAGAATTTTGCCTGGTAAATCACCTTTTGAGCTGGTATTTCACAAAAATGTCACCCTAGATCATCTCAGGGTGTTTGGTTGCCTGGCCTATGCTACAAACCTTAAAAGACAACACAAATTCTCACCTAGAGCAGTACCAGCTATATTCTTAGGGTACTCATTGGTGCAAAAGGGTTACAAACTCTATGACTTGCACAATAACTGTCCTTTTGTGAGTAGGGATATTGTCTTCAAGGAAGATGTATTTCCTTTTCTCCAACACATGAACAATTCCATGAAGGATCAACACTTTCCTATTATGACTCCATCCTATGATTCTGACTCTGATGATCTTGTATTGACTTTACCTCAGCATTCCATCACATCACAAGATACTTTATCATCTGATTTGGGACACCAAGATGATTCTCTTGCTATTACTGAAGATCTTCAAGGCAGTTCTATAAGTCCAGATGACCTCCCATTTCCAGATGATCTTCCAAGCAGTCCTGCCCATCATACTACTGCAGCTCCACTTCCTGAGGTTCTTCCTTCATCTGTTGCTGGTGACTTACCAGCTGCTGGAATCAGGAAATCCACTAGGCCTTCTAGGCCTCCTATATGGATGAATGACTATGTGGTTGGCCAAAATGCTGGAAAACCTTGCAATTATCCTATTGCTAATTCTATTAGTTATCAAGCATTGAAGCATGCCTACAGTCAATGTCTTGCAGCTTATTCAGCAGAGGTTGAACCTAGTTCATTCTCAGAAGCAGCTAAGGATCCTAAATGGGTGTCAGCAATGCATCAAGAGCTTCAAGCCTTGGAAGACAATGACACTTGGAGCATAGTTCCTTTACCTCCTGGGAAGAAACCCATTGGATGCAAATGGGTGTTTAAGATCAAACATAAAGCTAATAGAGAAGTTGAAAGGTATAAGGCCCGGCTTGTGACTAAGGGGTACACACAACAAGAGGGGCAGGACTATACAGATACTTTTTCCCCTGTAGCAAAAATGGTCACAGTCAGGACCATCATTGCCCTAGCTGCTCATCATGGTTGGTTTATCTACCAAATGGATGTTCATAATGCCTTCCTTCAGGGTGATCTCCTGGAAGAAGTGTACATGACCATTCCTCCTGGTTTTTCTCATCACACTGCAAGGCAGGGGGAATATCCATCATCTTCTGTTTGTAGATTTCACAAGTCCTTATATGGACTCAAACAGGCTTCCAGGCAGTGGAATCTTAAGCTCACAGATGCCTTGCATACAATGGGGTTCACACAAAGTCACTATGATTACTCTCTTTTCAGTAAAAGAGAAGGTTGTAATCAAGTACTAGTTCTCATCTATGTAGATGACTTGTTAGTCACTAGTAATGATGTTAAGTTGATTAACAAAACTAGAGCAGATTTGCAGAAATCCTTCAAGATGAAGGACCTGGGGGAGCTGAAGTTTTTTCTTGGGATTGAATTTGCAAGATCCTCTAAAGGGATATATATGAGCCAAAGAAAATATGCTTTAGAGTTGATAGCTGAACTTGGCCTAGCAGGATCAAAACCAGCTAGTACTCCTCTAGAAGTCAATCAGAAGTTAACTACTGTGGAGTTTGACAAAGCAACAACACCTGCTGNTAGTTTAAAGGACGTTGTTGGTCGAGACTAGTTGTACCTGACAATGACTCGACCAGATATCTCTTATGCTGTACAAACACTTAGTCAATTCATGCATGCTCCTAAACAATCACATCTAGATGATGCCACCAGAGTGGTAAGGTATATTAAGACTGCTCCAGGTCAAGGTCCATTGCTACCAGCAGAAGGAGATGGACAACTATTAGCATATTGTGATGCAGATTGGGGTGCATGCTTGCATACAAGAAGGTCTGTTACAGGTTATCTAGTATTTTATGGTGATGCCTTGATTTCTTGGAAGTCGAAGAAACAAGAAACAGTTGCAAGAAGCTCAGCAGAAGCAGAATTTCGAAGCATGGCTTCAGCAGCAGCAGAGATAGTGTGGCTGACCGGCTTGTTCAATGAACTGGGCTTTGAGATTCAGAGGCCAGTCACCTTGATGTGTGATAGTAAGGCAGCAATACAAATTGCAGCCAATCCTATATTCCATGAGCGTACAAAGCACATAGACATCGATTGTCATTTTATTAGGGAAAAGGTGAAAGCTGGATCTATCAAAACAGTGCATGTCAACACTAAGGAGCAGATTGCAGACATTTTAACGAAAGGGCTTGGCAGAACTCAACATGATTATCTACTTGGCAAGCTAGGAGTGAAGAATCTGTTTCTCCCCTCTAGCTTGAGGGGGAGTATTGAACCAACATAGATAATACATTAGTTTAGGGGTTAAAGTGTAAAAATAGAAACTTGTAATTTAATCTCAAATTAGTCGGTGAGTTAGTTATCACTGTATATATAGGTTAGCTTCTTCTTTTAGAAGAGATGGATTCATTCTTCTTCACAGTTATATGAAAATGGCTCCACTTTGAGCTCATCTCTCTCTTCTTCATTTGTTCTTCTAGAACCATCCAATTACTTGCATGCACTCTTACTCTTGTTAGTTAAGAGCTCATTAGAACTTCCGTTCTCCTGCAAAATGTCATTTACCAGACAAACTTACATTGCGACAAAACAATTTAGGTAAAGAATTGCTGTTTTCCCTAATTACATGCTAATGTCATTAACCACGAGCTCTTTCGCTTTTTTGAATGGGTTGATCAACCACCTGTAGCACTGCCGTGGAATATAAATTTGTCTCAAATCAGTAGACTTCTTGTTACCCATAAGTTGATCATGAAGTTGCTTAAAGAAATATGCATCACAGAAACAGGAGATTCCACCATTTGGTAAAGTCCGCCGCTATGTTTACAGTTAACTCCAATTATCAATGATATCAAGAAGTGAAACATATTGGGAAAAAATACTCCTACAAAATGTGATACTGAGCAAAAAAGTTTAGCTAAAGATAAGCTTTCCTTTGGGAATTAAGGTAAAACACAATTCAAAAATGCCTGTATTCTGACGTTGCACATGAAATTCTACAAGTAAACAACAGAAGAACCCTTTGGCAAGAGTAAAATCTTTCTTGTTTAATTAGTTGGCAATTGGAAGTTTGGAAACTGGAAGCACCAATTAATGCGAGCGGTATCTCATCATTGAAACAAACTCCTTATATCCTGCTGTCAAAATCAATGAGAGAAAAGGGATAAACCTTTGACAGAGATGCAATATCATTAGGCATCTTTCCCCTTCTGTTAAGCATATAATGGTTGCAGCTGATCTTCCCTGACTCCACAAGATGTTCTAATTCTTTCACAAGGATCATCGAAACAGAAAACTTGTTATATCATAATCCCAATCAGTGGAGACGAACTGTCAAAGAGATGTGATATTACTAGGCATCATTTGGCACTGCTAGCTTATAATGGAATGAGCAGTTCTTTCCCATCTTCACAAGCTCTTTTGCTTCTTCGATCATGGAGTGAGCAACCATCATATCAACAACCCGTTGTATTATACTAGTATAAACAGTATGTTTCAAAACAATACACTCCTTGCACAACTTATAAGCAAAATCAGGATCATCCTTATCACACGCCAGAGGAATAAGTAACACGAATGTCACAAGATCAGGAAGACAACCATTTTTCTCCAACTTTGCATACCAACTTTTAGCCAATTCCAAATCACCATCCTTTGCCCGAGCTGAAATCATCGCGTTATGACTATGAGTATCAGGGTTTACTCCCCTTTTCTTCATCTCCTCAAACAATTCCTCAGCCTCTACAACCTGACTGTTCTCTACCAATGAGCGCAATCGCGAGTTATAACTCCTAACATTCGGAATAACATTCTTCTTTTCCATCAAAGTCCACATTTTTTCAGCTTCAGAAAACTTATTATTCTTGTAAAACGCATCTAGCAACGTATTGAAAGTAATAACATCAGGGTCAATTCCATTTTTTCCCATCTCTTCTATCAGCAGAACTGCGGAATGCGGTGAACCCATCTCACAGAAGGCCTTGATCACCGTATTATACGAAACGACATCTGGCTCAATAGCTAATTTTCCAGGAAATTCCCTGAAAATCTCACTAATTTTATCATATTTCTTCGAATTAACACAAGCTCCCAGTAGAGCATTGAATGACATGACGGTACGCTCACAGCTTAATTCGGGCATTTCGTCGAACAGCTTCTGAGCATGCTCGAACATACCAGCTTTGCCATACAAGGAAATGAATCGTACAACGAAACGCTCAGTTTTTATTTCTGGGTAAACTTTTTGGTGTTCGAAGATATCTTCGATAGCTGAGAACTGTTCAGACTGGATGAGCCGGCGTACGAAAGATGCATATTTTTGATAACTGCGGCGGAATTTAGGATTCTTTGAGTCTTGCTTGAATTTACGAATCAGCGACTGAAATGTCTGTTCTTTAGAGGATTCGGGTTTACTGATGGCTTTGACGGGTTGAGGAACTTTGGATTTGACATCGGCGATGGCAGTAAGGACCTGGGGTTTGGCGGTCTTGGTGAATACATCATGGAGACGGCGGTAGAGAGAAGCCATTTTTTGCGAGGTTATAATATTAAATCTGTCATTTTACGCGACTTCAGCTACATGTTTTATACCGTTTTATCTAACGGGCCATAATACCAAGTAGGTCATGACTCGATTCTTTTCTATTTGTCTTTTAAATTAAAACTCATTCGACAATAAATTAGACGACAACTTCTTTTTTTTCCTCCCCTTTGATTCCCTTTTGACCTCTTCCTTTTTGTTAAAGCTAATATTGCTATTTTGGTAATTCGAACCCTTGGAATTATACATGGGGTACCGACTATCTGGACAACCTCGTTTGTCAATTAGACTATAACTTAACCTAGTTTCTTTTATAAAAAAATTAGCATAAGGAATAGTAAAAGGAGAAAGAGAGAGACGATTATCAACTCGATTATGTACATAAACTTCCACCTTGTTTAACCTAGTTTCTTTTATAAAAAAATTAGCATAAGGAATAGTAAAAGGAGAAAGAGAGAGACGATTATCAACTCGAGTATATACATAAACTTCCACCTTGTTTAACCTAGTTATGTAACGCTGTTTCAATGCTGCACCACGGTTAGGTCCACGGGGCCCTGGAGACGCGGCCGGTTTGTAATGCCTCCAGTGGCCCTGCGGGGGCTCGAACTGGCGACCCGAAGAACTTTGTTCTCAGGCCTTTACCAGTTGAGCTACCCCTCAAGGTTGACTTGGGACATTCTTCGTTGTCATTTTTCAAGTTTAATTCTATGAATTGATGTACAACGTTATGAAAATAGCCTCATAGTACTTAAAAAAGGTGTTGATATTTTTTAGACACATTTAAAAAGAAAAATATAGCAAATATATTAGGAGGCTCACCTTAATTATCTAAGTCCTAAGGAGCTCATTTGCACACTCTTCTTCCTGTTTTTAAGCACACTATTTATTTTTTGAGTTTCTATACATATTTGACCTCAACGTAAGACAAAGAAAAAAAAAAAAAGAAAGAGAGAAAGATGAATACACTGGGTGTTTTGAAAATCAGAGTACGCAGAGGGATTAATCTTGCAGTGAGAGATGCTTTTGGTAGTGATCCTTATGTTGTCATCACCATGGGCGGCCAGGCATGTTCTTTCTCTCTCTAAATATTATAGTTTCTTTTTCTATCGATCAATGTTTTTGCATGGTTTTCATGAATCTGTTATTGAAATTATGTTATTTCTGGAATTATGGTGGCTATTTTTTGAATTATTTTTCATTTGTTTCATATCCACAAACAAAGACCGAATCTTCGTTAGATTTGCTACACACATATCCCAAATTAAGAGGAGTGATATATGCTTTTAATTGTTGTCTTCATGAGGTTTAATTTGAGAGTTTATCTTTTTAGCATTCGGCTTGTCACATGAATGTGAGAAGACCATATTTTCTAATTTATGCTATTTTCTAGTATAGGAGTGTGACGTATCCTTGCTTCTGATATTTTTCCCAATTGTATTCTATAGAAAGTGAAGACTCGAGTTATTAAAGAGAATATCAATCCTGTATGGAATGAGGAGTTGAGCCTTGCACTCTACGATCCCAGCCTTCCTATTACTTTAGTAAGTATCCTCCTCAATTCAGCTGAATTTATATATAAAAAGTTGAGGCTTATACAATATAGATTTGACGATGAACTTCACGTACGTACTTGGCTAAAAAAAAAAAAAGGTCATCAATCTTGTACATGAGGGTCGGGTTGCGGGCAAAGCGGATCCAGAATTTGAAGGTTGCAGGTGCACTTTTGGATCCAACCAAAATCTGTTTTGTATATATAATATAATCACTACTCGTATATCACTATTTTCTAAAACCATATACATGTATTTTTGCCGAATTTTACGGGTGCCAGTGACCCCTCTTTGTATAATATAGGTCCGCCTCTGGCTGCGGGCTTAAAACAAGAAACAAATAATGTATCTCGTTATTAATAGTTTAAACTTATGGATGGGATGATTATACAATTCAACAAGAACTTGACTCAAATGAATAGCTTACATGGGTTGCCTGATTATTCTTTTTTTTTGTAGACGGTGTATGACAAAGATACGTTCACTGCAGATGACAAAATGGGAGATGCCAAGATAGATATAAAACCCTATATTGATGCAATAAACATGGGATTAGAAGGACTCCCAGATGGTGTCAAGGTGGATAGGGTTCAGCCAAACAGGGATAATTGCCTCTCTGATGAAAGTTGCATAGTATGGGAGAATGGCAAGATGACACAGAACATGATTCTTAGATTGCAACATGTAGAATGCGGGGAAATCGAGATTCAAATTGAATTGATTAATGCTCAAGGTCGTAGAGGTGGTCTTTACATCTAAAAAACACACTTTTGTTTAGTTTTAATATACGTAAATTATCAATTGTGACACAAATTTACATAACTATATTCGTTACTGTTGTAACTTGTAAGTGTCAGAATATACTATAAGCCATACGCGTCCTGCCGCGGTCCTACCGCGGTTACGCCAGGACCGCGGCAGAGTGGCCTTCAGAATCTGCAGCAGTGTTCTGAAGACCAATTATTTATTTACTTGTTTAAATTCCATAAAGTTTTCTTTTAAATAGATCATGTATTGGTTTGTGTGTCCATTGCTTACATAGTAGATGATTTAGTGTATAGAGTTTAGCTTATACACGGAAGATTAAATCATCGGTTCTTGTAAGACATAAAAGTTAATGTTCACAATCTAATGATGGAATTGAACAAATCATCTGAATGGTTGTAGTACAAGATTAAATGTAATTTATCTTGATTATGGGAATAGATCTAATTCCAACTTCTTGTGCTAATACATTTTGTATGTATTGAACGGATCAAGTAGAGATAAGTATTTTATACTGACTTTATAAAATAATTTCTCTAGTCCATTTAATGTACTTATACTCTTAATCCTGATATAATTATTATTAGCTGTGTATATCACTTGTTGTTTTGATTTATTAAAAGGCGAGATTCTTTCGTGAGTCAATAAGCCTGGTAAATTGGATAACAATGATATACATTGGCGAAGTAATAATTAGTTGATGGAATCCATGTCTCGGTTTTGAGATTGATGATACTCCTTTATGAAAGCTTATAAGTTTTTATGTGTAAACCTGGCCGGTGGATTTTGTATCCGACACATGAAATAAGTTAAGTGTAAGTCTCAAGGAAGTAATCAATAAATTAAATAGTCAGTAATTTAATTTGATTGATTAGTATCTGAATTTTAACATGGGGAGTTAAATAAGGTTTTATGGCAGAATTTCGAAATCGAACTAAGAAGTGCAATTACGAATTTTTAGTGGAATAATTCGTAATTTATTATGGTAGAAATTAATTTCAAATTTTGAAATTAATTCCATAATAGGAAGCCTTGTTAATTAAATTCTGTGGTCCCTACTGTGCCTGAATAATAGGAAATAAAGGAAACCTTTCCTTGGTGGAAGAAGAAAACCTAACAGGTTTTGGAAAAGTGTTTGGACCTAAAAAACGCAGCTATATATATATGGTATATAGCTGGTCGTTTTTTACACAGAAAAAACACACGTTTTTCTTCCTTGAATTTCGCCTACCCGAAGTTCTCTGTTTTCAGGTTTATATTTGGTAACACAGTAGAAGACCGTGGAAGGTTGCTCAGGTCTTGCAATTCTGGAACTGGAGAAGGATATCGATTTGCTTTGTTCACGCTTCAAGAGGTAACTCGTATAATCTCCGTATGTGCTAATTGTTTAGATTACACGTGATTATGATGCTATGTTTGCTTCCGCTGTGAAATATGATCCAACATATAGATGTTATGGAATGAATTCAAGTGATTTGAGCTTTGAAGTCTGAGTAAAAGCCCAAGGAATTTAAGCCGGGATCGTATTCGGGGATCAACAGATGATAGAGCAACAAAACAAAGAATCGAGTAGGTATATTGCGCACTGTCTAGTAAAATGCACATAACTTTTTGCTCAGAACTCTATTTGGGCTCCACAATATATGGTTGGAAAGCTAACTCAAAGGGCTACAACTTTTATTGTTTTACGTTTTTCCAAATTCCGAACGGAACAGGGTGAAAAATACGGTCGAAACCGCGACCGCGGACCTGAGGCGGGCTGAGGCAGTACACTTGCCAAATACCGCGTCCGTACCGCGGTTGACCGCGGCCGCGGCCGTCCAGACGTGAAAAATTGTCCTTTTTCGCGTAGGAGAAGGTATAATTATTTGGGCCCGAATCTACTTGGTATATATATATATGGAAAAACGGTATTTTTGAAGGAGGAGACCAATTTTTGACACAGATTCGACCTAAGGAGGCAGAGACACAATAGTAGCAACGCGGGGAATTCTTCTACGAGTTTTTCCTTCCTCTTCCTATTTTTCATTGTTGGTTATGACTTTTAGTATTGTAGTTTTACATACTATTATGAATAGCTAATTTGTTATTTAGGGTTTTGATGGAACCTTTTGTAGGATAAATTCTTGTTATATCTTTATATAACTGAGCCGTTGGATTTCTCTACTTGTTCAACTACGTGTTTATTATTGTTGATTGAATGGCCATCGATTGATTGTGCCTATTTATTATGTACTGCTCGAGAGAGAGTACACATTTAGGTAGTTGTTGAACAACGTCACTCCTAACGTATGTGAGAAATCAATATATTGGGTTTAAAGGTAGGTTTAGAAATAACAAAGTCTTGACGTGGTCATAATGAGCGGTTAGATAAAGCCAACTAACGTAGCCGGGACTTTGATAATCTATTCTTTTTAAGTTACATTTTATCTGTTGTTATCATCATGTCAAACAACAACAACAACAATAATAGTGAAAATACCTTGGGAAACCATGAAAATCAAATCCATCAAAATCAAGGTGATTTACAAAACATTAACGTGGTTCCTTCCCCTCAAAATTCACCACGTCAATCTCGTGAAGGCACTCCTACTCCTGAATCTCGTGCTGTTGAACAAGAGCAATCTGAATATTTTGAAGGAGCAGATGACGCTTTACAAAAAGTAATTGATGCACGGGTTAGCAAAGCTCTTCAAGCTCTAGTTAGTCGATTACCTGTTGCACCACCCACACCTACGCCTAATAACAATGCATTGGAGAATCCTCGTTCTGGCCTTGTTAATTCTGGTAATGGAGGAACCCCCAGTGAACCACAGGAAGGAGAACCAGGTAATTCAAATAATTCTCATTTGCAAAATTTAGTACTAACTTTACAGAAATAGCTTAAGGAACAAAATGAGCGCATCGAGCAAATCCCTGGAGTTCCCCCTGTAATCAAAGGAGTGGATGTGGATAAATACTCGCAACAACCTTGGAAACCAAGTGCTGCTCCCCTTCCAATCCCTAAAAAGTTCAAAATGCCTGACATCTCGAAATATGATGGCCCAACAGACCCACGTGATCACGTAACTGCATTTACTACAGGTGTAAAAGGCAACGATTTGACCAAGAAAGAAATTGAATCCGTGTTGGTCAAGAAATTTGGAGAAACACTCCCCAAGGGTGCATTAACCTGGTATTCTCTTTTACCTGAAAATTCTATAAACTCTTTTGCTGAGCTTGCAGATTCTTTTCTTAAAGCGCACTCGGGAGCTCAAAAGGTTGAAAAAAGAATGGAAGACATTTTCAAAATTAAACAAGGGGACTCAGAGTTGCTCAGAGATTTTGTTGATAGATTCCAACGTGAAAGGATGACTTTACCCCGTGTACCTGATAATTGGGCTGCAATAGCTTTTGCAAGCAACTTAAATGATAAAAGTTCAGAAGCCACGAGAAGACTTAAAGAAAGCCTTCGAGAGTTCCCTGCAACCACGTGGAATGACGTTTATAACAGGTACAGTACGAAGTTGCGAATTGAGAAAGATACCGTACCTCAGTTTCATCATGAAGAAAGGAGCAATTCCAGGAGGTCAGAAACCGAAAAAGATCAGGTAAAAACAGATACGATCCATATATGGGACATGCAGGAAAAGACTCACGGTCAAAGCAGGATACTC